GATTATGCGTTTGCATTTTTCTGTTTATTTGTTTCTATTATTTAAAGTGAGCGAAACAAATACTTTTATTTATTTGCGTCTGCTGCGGCGTTGCATTTCTCCAAACAAAAGCATAAGCAAAAAAAAAAAACTGGGCGACTGGGCGAATGCATTTGATATGCCAAGCCAAGTTCATTGCTACCCAGTTGTACAGTAAGAGAGAGAGAGAGGGAGGGAGAGAGAGATATATGTATCTGTGCAGTTGGCATTTGTAAATGCATCCGTTAGCCAAGTTTTTAATTTCAATTGCGAAAACGAAAGTGAAAAGCAAAGCGAAGCGCGGCGAATGCAACTGCAGAAATTCACTTTTAGTTTTCACTGCGCATGCGCAGTCAATTTATGGCCAAAACGCAGCAACTCTTGAGAGCAGGCGCCCCCAAACATACCCCTCCCCCTCCCTCTCCCTCTCCCCCTCTCTCTCTCTTAATTTAAATTCGCTGTCAAATTGTCTTTGACATTTTTACATTGGACTTCGACTTGGAGTGCGACTCGTCCGTCCGGTTGGCGCGCCGCTGATCGTATCCCTTGCTACAGTGAAGTCTGGCTTTGTTGAATGTCGGTGAAAGTCAGTGCAAGCTTAGGCGTCGCGTCGCCTCGCCTCGACTCGCTACAATTGTGCAAAAGAAAAGTTATTTGCTTTGCAGTTTTTCGTTTCTTTTTCTTCTTTCTTTTCGGGTTTTGTTTTTCTTTATTTTTTATTCGCTTTTCGTAGGCGGCGTTTGAACTTTTGCTTGGAAAGTTTTTCTGCGTCGTGTTTATTTTTATTGGCACAATTATTTGTGCATTTTAGAAATTTATTGAAACGGTCAAAGACCCGCTGAAGCCCGCCAATTCTCTAAGCAGAGCAAGAGAGGGAGACAGACAGACAGAGAGAGCGAGAGAGAGGGGAATGCTCAGTAAAAGTGAAAACTATTTAATTGAAAGTAAAACCCTTTTTATTTTTGCAATTATTTTGAGTGTGTCTGTGTGTGAATTTGTTGTGGGCTAGACTTTTACCTTAACATATATACGACTAAGTAAATACGGCTAAGAAAGCTGGGAAGCTGGCTATTGAGATCATCAGCATTATCATTAAGTTGCGTATGATCATTAGCATTATGAGGCAATCAAATGCTTGAGCTAAATGATATATGAGCAGCTCTAGAGCTGCACTAAAGATAGATAATGAGATCTTCTAAATGCTCTAATAGTCTATCTTAGTTAAAGCTCAAGAGCTAATCATATATTAACTCGCTCAAATATTTCATGGCCTTATAGTGCTATGATCTACTCTCTCTGCTTAACTTTTGCAGCTTCCATTCACTTTTACTGTAATCACATATATTTTCATACATGATCTTCAAATTGACATTCGCATTTAAATTGATAATTTGTATAGCAGCTGAGGGCCAGTCAATTTTGATATGTGCATTGCTTAAAACGAAATCTTATTTATGACAGAAAGTCTGTTCACCCTTTTCGAACCCCCAGAAATTTGAATTCCTTAAATGATTCACAACTCTCCCTCTCTCTCTCTCTCTCTCTCTCGTTCTCATGCTAAATATGTTCCCACGCCCCATGCACAGTGTCGATCGTCAACCTTTTTACAGCTGCTCCAGAAAGTGCAAGGCACCTAAGAAAAAACAGAAAAAAAAGTCAACGCAAGTCAAGTCAAGTCAAGTCAATGCACGCATCGGTCGTTCGCCGATCATTAATTTGAATTAAATTTAATACAGTGCGAATGGCATTATTGCATAATCGCAGTCGGCGCTGCACCGTGTTGAACCGAACCGCTCGCACGTTTACGGTTTGCTCACATGTTTCCCAATTCAATGAACCAGCCAGTCAGCCGCCTCATTCGAATTTTGGAGGCGGCTGTGCACGCCCACTTTACAAGGCGCCTCATTGAAATATGCGTGACCTCAGCTGCGTTTTTTGAACCCAACAACTGGCTAAATATTTTGTCGAAAATTGAATTTTATTGCACGATACGTTGAACTTGCGTCTGTTTCGCTAAGAAAAAAACCTGTACGAACATTTCCGCATTGTCGCTGCGAGCAGAGAGCGGGTGAGCGAGAATGGGCGCGCGCGAGAACAGTGTGCACTCTCTCGCGCTCCCTCGCTCACTAGCCTGCACTCGTACACAACACGCGCTAAACTTTTATTTATTGACTTAGATTGGTGTGAGCGGGAGAGCACGAGAGATACGAGACGACGAAAAAAATTTCAATGTCAAATTTTAATTTAGTTGCGTTTTTGACTCAGAACATTACCAATATGGCAGGCGCACCTCTCTCTCTCTTCAGTCATCACATGAGTGTGTGTGTTGTTTTCTATTATATCTCTATGTGTGTATGTGTATTTCATATCAAGCCAGCCGAAAATTTTGGTTGAGCTGTCGGAATTAATTTGTTTGTATGCCACATATATAGGCAACTATTATGCAAGTGTGTGTATGTGTGTGTTTTGGGGGCTGCCATTTGTTTGTTTGTTGTTCTTTTGGCGTATTTCTAGCTGATAATGCTGCCCGCTCCGCACGCCTATCCCTGCTCCCGTTCACTCTCTCACTGTATTCGTGTGAAGTGAATGAAACTTTCAAGGTCGCCTCCTTGTGTGCTTGTGTGTGTGTGCAGCGTGCGTATTAGATAATTCTTCTGCTATATCGGCTATAGATTCATATCTATTATACAGCCAAACATCGTCCTTGGGCTAAGATTTGCGTATGCCAGGCGATGAGCAGATTCTATCTTTCACTCCCTATGAACTGGTTTCTAATTCTAGCCAAACTTAATTGTTATTAATATTTAAGTATCTAGCTGCTATTTAAAAGATTTAATTTAACAAATTTTTTATATGTATTTATGGAAAAAAAAACTGGATTAGTAGATTTTGAAACCAGGAAACAGTTTTGCTTTATAGCCATATCTAATTTTACCCTATATTTTATGTGTGTGTGTACGTGTGTATGTGCATGCGCCAAATTTTTACGTTATCAGTTTAGTCTAAAAAACAACAAATGTTTTTTTTCTACGAATTTTTTAATTTTCAATTGCGAATTCTCTCTATTTTTAAAACACAACAGAGTTTTAATGATCGACGTTTGAATATCCTATATAAAAATGTCTAAAAATAGATTAAAATTTATAATAATAATGACAATAAATAAGAGTAATGTATAATTTCATTGCAACTCTAAGAAACCCTACATACAGGGTATCTTTTAGTCAGCTTCGTTGCAGTTCTATCTTTTTTAATATATAATTTCCATGTGGCACATATTTTTAAATATATATATCTAACGGAATGTGGGCGCAGCAAGAATAACACCTACGCCTTGCCCCGCGGCTACAGCTTGACTGTCTGTGCAATTGTCGGTATACCCTGTAGACGGCCAAGGGATTCTGTGCGACTGACGTCATCAGAGAATGGTCTTTTATATATACATCTACATATACATATACAAATACAAATATATATTTTGTTTTGGAAACTTGCTTTGTAATTCATTCACGAGCGTGTTCCCAGAAACAAAGCAACAAGGTCGCATGTGCCCCTCCCACCCCACCCGACACTCGCTTAGATCATCTAAAACAATTCATTTGTTAATCGACGACACGTGTAAACGCGCTAATAGTGTAAAATCAAAAATAGAAAAATTGAGGAAGAAGAAGACGACTCGGTAGAGGTAACACGCTTGAAAGCGAAATGGTGCTTATCAATAGATAGGCAAGAACTTAAAGGGCAGACAATGCGTCATATAACACATGTTTATATATGTGTGTGGGTGTATATTGATTATATAAATATTGATAAGGAATCTGCATGCATGCATTTATCTATTCAATTCCACATTTATATGGCTTGCAGTCGCCTATAAATCTTAAAGTGCATTTAAAGTTTTATGTGGAACTGGCAACGATCGATAAAGATTTCACACGCATAGAGACAGAGAGGCAAGCAAGCAAACATTTGTTGTTGCTGTTGCAGCAAAAGTGCAACGATCTGCAGTGCAAAATGTCAGTGAACTTGTCGAGGCAAAAACAACAACGACAACGACCAACTGCAGACAGCGAAGCGTGTCTGGCACACAGGGACAACAACAACAACAACTGTAATGCACAGTCACAGCGTCTCTTTCATGATCATGATCATGTAGTAGATAATGACGTTTGATGAGCATGGCAGCATATTTGAGCATGCACGCCAAAGGCAGCTTGCAATTGTTTTTGTACACGAATATAGACAATGCGTGTAGCGCCAGCTCGCTCGCACGCCAGCTCTATGCTAGTAGGCAATGGCAAGTGAGTGAGCAGCAGCGAAGAGCAGCGAAGAGAAGAGCAAAACAGAACAAAGCAGAGCGTAAGACTTTCTTGTGTATGAAAACCAGTTTGTTTCGTGTGTCTTCTTTGCTGCTGAAGAAAGTCTTTCGCTTGAGTTGTCTGCCGCTCTCGCTCTCGCTCTCGCTCTCTCGTTTGTTATCTTGGCGTAAGATTCTTGTTCTGCTTTGTTTACTTTCTTCGTCTGCTTTCTTTGGCAGCTTGCGGTGAAAGTTACGTAACACTTGCTCGCTGCCTGCAATTGTCTTCACATATTACACACGCTACTCTCTATCTCTCTCTCTCTCTCTCTATCTTTCTCTTGCTTGGCCAGAACAAGCTCAAGTTCAACCAGTTGCCCATTTTGTTTTGCTGCTTTCTTCGTTGACATTGGCATTGGCCAAGCGAGCGAGTGGCTCTTCGTGTGCAAAGAAAGTATTACGTCTGTATTTACTTTCTTCGGCATTGGCTTTTTTGTAGCTGTCGCAGAGAGTAAAAGTTTACCTGAGATTGTTTAGCCTCAATGCTCAATTATCAAGATTACTGCGACTATCTTAATTATCTTTCAGAGTATTTTTATAAATTTTTTGTTCATTTTGATTGCAATTTTATGGATTTCTTATTGATTTTTATATTAATCGATTTTCTTTGCTCTCTCCCTTGCAGAATTCGATGGCACCACTGTGCTCTGTCGCGTATGCGGTGATAAGGCCTCCGGGTTCCATTATGGCGTGCATTCCTGCGAGGGCTGCAAGGTAAGTTCTACGCCCACTCCAAATATAGCTGTAAGTGCTGAGGGGTTGTCTGCTGTGGCAGCAACCACCGGGACACCGACTGAGCTGACATTGAACTCATTTGACCTCGCTGGCAAGGGCAAAGGGCCGTGCAGTCGGAGGGTTGTTGTGCAGCAGGAACAACTAAATTGGCAATTGCGTGGCAGACATGAAAACCTGCGTTGCTCCTGTTTGTCCTTGCATAAATTGCGTCGCAATAAAATAAATCAAAAGTATCCTGAACCCTGCAAACACCACCAACAACAGCAGCAGCAGCCGCAGCAACAGCCGTGACAGCAGCAGCCGTGGCAAGCACCACCGTGTTTAGCCCTTTGTCTGTGACATTGAAAATTGCCGCAAGTTCATTCGCCCGCCGCTGCCCAAGTCCAATGCTGATCATGCTCCCCCCTCTGTCTCTCTCTCTCTCTGTCTCCCTCCCCCCACTGCAGTCGACACGAGCTTAATCTGTCGCTGTCCCGCTCACTCTTTAACCTTGGCAAAGTAGTTTGCCCTATTCCCTTATATTCGCCGCGTTGCCGCCAAAGTCGGGAATAATGTCTCAATGACGTCCTTGAATTAGGTTAACAGCCAGTTTCCAGTTCCAGTTTCTATCTTGCTCCCTCCCTCCCTATTCCTCTGTCTCTGACTCTCTCTTTCTCTGTTGCGCTCTCTCGCCTGCGATCCTTTGTCGTTGTGTCGTTGTTGTAGTTATTTTTATTTGTTTAGCATTGGTTTCTTTCTTGCGGGCTGCCGAGACGTCTGCGCGTCTGAAATTTCAAACTTTCCAAGACTTTGGCCCGCTGCTTTTTGCGAATATTCTTTTACTCTTTTTTGCGCTCGCCTTTCTTGTTGTTGTTGTTATTGTTTTTTTTCTCTCGTCTTTTTGGCAAGTTCATTGACTTCGCTCTTGACCAAGCGTCGTCCACTCTTGAGCTTTGGGTTTCTTAGATCGTTTTTTGGTGCGGATTGGTGAGTTTTTTTCGCAAAGTATATACATACATGCATACATACATACGTATATGCATATGTATATATACATATGTATGTAAATTTTTGCATATATAACTCGCTCCTTATGTATAATGATATTAAGTAGCTCGCGTCGCTTTTATCAATGTTCCAGTCACACACATGCGCTAATTTAAATACATACACACGCACGTATGCATGTGTGTGGTTGTCTGTTCGTCTGGCAGGTAGGCCTATTAACAAGCTGCTCGTACGCGCTTTTTTGAAGTTCAAGGTTAAGCAAAAGGCACAGGGTCCCAGCAGCTACGCTCTATCTGGCTCAAAAACCTGTCCTGCCCTCTTTGCACACGCACTCAGTCTGTCTCGCTCGCTCTCGCTCGCTTTAAATAGACTCTAGAAGTAGGAAGCAAGTTTTGGAGGTTTTTTGCCATTTTTGTATTGCTCATACGACGCGTTAAACGCTGTCATCATTGTTGCTGTTGTTGTTGCTCTTGCTGTTCGTCATGTAGCTGATACTTCCGCCCAGGCCCGATCTGACTTGCTTGGCTTTTGCTTTAGCACCTGGCCAGAGCCAGCCTTCGGTGTGTCTATTGACCTCTATTTTAGTTTGTATAAGCATACATATATACATACACACACACGTAAATACATATATGTACGAATATCAAATTCGACTTCGAATTCAAGTTCGAATTACGTTATATTCTTTTATGAAACTAAAAGCCCACACTCTGTCAGCTTAGGCTAATCTTCTGCTTATTGTATTGCCTTTATAGATTAGCCAACACTGCTCTGTTCTAGTTAGTCAACACTGATTATATAATTTATTTGTATTGCAATTACTTCACCTTCCAATATTGGAAAGACTCCATTTTGCTAGGTCTGCCTAGGTACTTTGCCTATGCCCTTAAAAGCCTGTTTTTGTTCGCCCCTCGCTTGACTATTTACCATATTCTCAGCTCACTTGGCAACACAATTTTTTAACACTATGCCACTGCGCCTAATGACCCAATTTGTGCGGTGTCGTCCAGTCCGAGTTATGGGAATGGCTCATTTGCTCTGTCTTCGATAATTCCTCCAAATTTAAGCATAAAAACAAAACGTAGAAAAAAGCAAACAGAGGCACAAAAATAAATTAAAACCAACATACATACATACATACATACATACGTGTGTACATAAATAGGTAAATATGTTTGAGGGCATGTGTGTGTGTGCTTGTATTTGTTGACGTTGGCGTTTTTGAGTGTGATTTCTGTTATGGTTGCGCCCCTCTGCCCTGCTCTCTCTTTGGTCAGTGTGAATGGCTTGCTTTCTTTGCTCCACTCGGCTACTCTTCGGCTGTTATACAACATGTTTTTGTTCTTTCATATTATTTAGCATATTTATTTATTGTACATTTGTTGTTATTCTTTTCCTTTCCACACGCACACAATCACACACACACACACGATATTTGTTATTGCGTTTTTTGCTGTGCTTCTTTTTAGCTGCGATGCTGTTGTTGTATTTTATGCTTCGTGTAGTTTTCGTGTGCAGTTGTTGTGTTGACTGGGTGAGTGTGCGAGCGAGCGAGTCAGTGAGTGAGCGAGTGAGTAAGCGTATGTTTGTGCGTGTGCGAGCAGAGTAAGTGTGTGTGGTTGTGTAAATGTGAATGAACTCGTTCAATGTCAGCAACAACGGCGAAGCAGCGTACGCAGCATGAGCCACAAGAAGCAGCAGCAGCAGCGATAGCAGCGGCAGTGGCAGCGGCAGCGCCAACAAAAACAGCAGCAGCAAAGAGCATAAGTCGTGAGAGGCCTCAATGGGCTGTGCTCATACTCTCTCCTGCAAATGCAGCGGCAATTGTACTCTCTGTAAATGTTTAGTTGCTTATAGTATCGCCGTGGAGTTTTCGTAAATTCCTTTTGATCTACTTATGTATGTATGTTAATCTGTGCATGTATGTATATAGGCTTGTTGAACGATTAACATGACGTTGAATTCGTATTCTTATCTGCCTGGTATTCTCTAGGCTTTTAATACTGCTATTCTGAATGAGTCATCTCACTGTTAAAAGTTCCATTTTAAAATTTCATTACATGCCTAACCTGCATCAATAATGACGTTGCATCAATAGAGAAAGAGCGAGGGAGAGAGCGACAGATACAGAAAGAGGCAAAATGATAACACACTTGATAATCATTTCGAGCATAGAGAGAAAAATTCGTGTGTGTGCAGTGTGTGGGGAGGGTTGACCGAGAATAAATAGAAAATACGTAAAATAAATATAGAAGCAACGAACACACACAAAGGCCCGGAGACTCGGTTCGACAAAAACAAATAAAAATATCATACCAAAAAATTTAGTTTCAATAATAAAAATTGAAAGAGACAAATAAATAGATATTAAGTTTAGTTTTTTTAAATTTAATTTATGATTCCATTTCCTACTCAGCTGCCATTTCACTTGCCTGCAATCAGACTCTTCTATTCGAATTGGAAAATGTGCTGAAAAAAACGGGAATAGGGCGAAGAGAGCACACGCTGAATGCAGCAAATGAGCGGCGCAGCTAGCATTGCAAGAGAGCGAGAGAGTGCACATGTTTATGCTTGTGCTAGTGTTGTGCTAGGACCCAAATAGAGCGGCAGACAAACACACACAAACATACACACACAGATATGTATAAACGTGCATATGTAATCAGGGGTTAACGCTCTGACATGCACTTGAACGACTGACTGCAGTTCCTGCTCTGTGTGTGTGTGTGCGTGTGTGGGGGTGTAGAGCAACCTCTGTTATATATACACACATATATATGTACAAAAGTATTGCATGTGTGTGCTTAGGTGTAGAATGTTCTAGAAATGCTGCAGCAATTGGGCTATTGGTTTTATTTCTTTTGGTGCATTTTTTTATGCTTTTTAGTATAATTTACATATTTATTTATGAAATATGTATACACAAAGTCTACCACGTGCACACACACACGCCTTTTGCACTTTGCCTACAAATAGTTCAATGCACTTTGCAATTTGGGTCAACAACCTTCGTCCATTTAGGCAAAGCTTGAAAGAAAACTTTAAAAAAATCTATATAAATCTATATAAAATATCTTAAATAATGTTATATTTATTATTTAAAAACTACATGGTAAAAATTAAATATAAAAATTGTTACAATTTAAATAGCATGCGAGCGCAAGTGCTGTTAAGTGTGGAGCAGCGCTGTTAACGCCAGGTGCGCCATCTAGCGAACGCTTGCTGCAAACAGCGCAAAAGTATGCTACAAAATAGTTAACAGTCGCTTTTTATAGCAAACAGCTTTTGTGCGCCTGCTCAGCAGACGAGGTTTTTCATTAAACAAATTTTATTTAATTTATTATATGCAAATGTAAGAAAAATGTTTTTGATATTAAAAAATAATAGAAAACAATTTTTAAAAAATGTTACAGTTTTTAAAACAATTTAAATTGTTTTTATTTAAATCATTTAAGCGCCTTTTATATGCATATTTATGGCCACATTTACTAGATTATTTATACAATTTTTTGTTGTTGCTGCAATTGTTGTGTTACCAAGGCCAAATCACGCTCACACACACACAGCATGTAGATGAACTCTTATATTAAATTATATATATCTTTTTTTCAATTGCCAATTATCGTTGCTATAAAGAAACAATAACAAAATTATAATTTGCAATGAAAAAAAAAATAGAATTAAATTAATAAATGGGCAAACGCCCACCAGCAGCAGCAGCAAAGCTTATCTAACAATTCGATGTGTGTTTGTGTGTGGCAAAGAGAACGTGCAGCTGCAACACAACGACAACAACAGCAACATTGAGTACTACGAGCTACGTAACTGGGGCGAGGGCATAGTGCAATGAACTGACTGCCTGCCTGGCCTAGCTGGCTGGCTGGCTGGCTGGTTGCAAGCAGCAGTTGCAGTTGCAAGTTTATGTGCTGCATGCCACACACACACGTGCACAAAAACTACGAGTGATAGTAAAACGTGTACTTTATACATAT